TCGCGAAAAAATGAAGGAAAAGTAAAATTAAACACAGAAAAAAGCTGTTGCTTGGGGGAGCTCGCGACGAGGCTGCCATACTCGGCGCCATCTTGTTCTTCTACCTTCTATAATAGTTAAACTGCTGGATATCGGACTTCCTTCTACTACCTGCTGCTGGATCAGAGACTTCCTGTCAGACCGTGTATAGAGGGTTAGGGGCCTCATCTTTCCTCAGCCCTCAGCCTTAACACCAGCTCTCCACAAGGCTGTGTACTAACACCCCTACTGTACACGCTGTACACACATGACTGTGTTAGTTCCCACCCAGTCAATGCAGACATGATATAGAGCTGAGGTCCAGAGCATGTCGGATTTGTGTGCAGACAACAACCTGGACTTCAATACCACCAAGACAAAAGAGCTCGTAGTCAACTTCAGAAGGAGGAAATCTGAGCTGCAGCATCAACAGGGAGTGCATGGAAAGGGTGTCCAGTTTCAAGTTCCTGGGTGTGCACATAGAAACAGACCTCCAATGGAGCTCAAACACCTCGGCGGTTTTAAAGAAGCCCCAACAGCATCTTCATTTTCTGAGAATCCTCAGAAAAATGGAGCTGAAGAAGGTGCTGCTGATCGTCTTTTACCGCTGCTCCATTGAAAGTGTGCTGACAAACTTCATCTGTGTGCTGTTCTCCAGCTGCACCACAGCATTTCAGAGGGTTATTAATATGGTCCAAAAAATCATTGGACATCCTCTTCCCTCCGTTAAGGACCTGTACAGCACTCGCTGTCTCCAGAGGGCACGCAGCAATGGTAATGTGCAATAAACATACTCATTCTTTTATTTATTACATCATTCATTTGCTCATACCATTCATGCACTTAAAAAAATCCACTTTAATTTAAGTTACTGTGCTGTTTTGTTGTGCTATTGTACTAGGTATGACTGTGCAATGACAATAAAGAGTTGTCTTTATTTGCTGTTTTATCGGTTTGCTAGTTGTTGAATAGTTTTGTGAGCTTTGACCTGAGATTCTGGCGTTTCTGGCAAAATACATTGATATTTAAAAATCAATTCAGAATTTATTGAATCAAAATCACTTTATTCAAGCTAAAATCGTTTTGAGTCAGAAAAATCGATTATTGAAACCCACCGCTATTTATAATTTAGTCTGGTAACCACCGGTTTCACTAACTAACCAGACCCCACTAACTGTGGACTGTGGGAGGAAGCCGGAGAGAACCCACGCACAAAAAGGCCCCGCCCTCATTGTGGAGTTGAACCACTACTGGCCGTGATGTCAAAGTATCCATTTTTCCCTTTGAAAGACTAAAGGTTAAATATCAGCTGTACTTCCTCCGGCCAGTCAAGAGGGGGCGGTAGGCTTTCATGACGTCACTATCCTCAGGTTAATGTGTTTGTTAATTGCTGGCTGTCATGGTAACAGTGTGGCGGCCTGTGTCGGGAGGCAGCTGCAGACAAACGTTTGGCTCTGTGTGAAGTGATCTATCCGCTTCTGATCGATCACATGACTGTTGTGGAGCTGCTTCCGATCGGTCTGATCTGTCATCGATCGCTTTTTCTTTGTGTCCGATGGAGGTTCGTTTCTTGTCTACGCCAATGTACTCCGGTCTCCGCGCGCAGTGGGCGGGGATTGACCTCCGGGGTTCCACGTCACACCGCGATGGTTGTCCACCCTGCGCCCGCGCGGGCGGGACTATTTTATCCGCGCAAGTCATCAGTCACGTGACGCCCTCGGCTGTCCTAGTGGCTGATGAGGGTCACGTGAGCTGTGGACACGTTGTCATAGAGACTGACTCCCCCCTCACTATCGTCAACCCGCCCCGGTAGAGAAAAGAAGCGCTCCCTGACAACTGGCGGGGGGCTGGGCTCACAGACCTGAGTGGATTGTGATTGGTCAAGCGTCCCAGCAGCGGGCTGAGCTGTGATTAGTTAGAAGTACAGAGCTTCGCTGTCAGTCAGAGAGAAGCCCCGCCCCCTCCGCTCAGACCGCGGACGCTCCGGGACGAGAACCGCACTTCTTTGATCAGAGACCGGAGCAATCAGCTGGATCAATCGGAGATCGGCAGGTGATCGACCATCGGCTGATCAGGGATCGGTTGATCAGGGGAATGTCCCGGCTGCTGGAGAGCAGGAGGCAGGACAGGATGAAGGAAATTAACCTGAAGGTGAGTTCACCGGAAAAAAGAAAGAAATGCTCTCCGGGCGCGTGCACACCGCTCCTCGCGGATGGATCGGGGCAGACGGCTGCGCGCGTCTGATCAGGAGTTATTGATGAGTGATCGTTGAGGGAGCGGCTGGAGGCGGACTCGGGCTGTTCCGCTTTGTTTCCGCTTAGACTGTTCCGTTACTATAGAGTATCGATCACAGCATCGATACCTGCTGATCAGACACTGATCGGCTACTGATCGGTCGTACACGCTGATCACCGATCGATCGATGATAAGCGTGTACAGGAGGCTGTGTTTGAACACGTGAGGAAAGTTTGAGGAGAAACGGAAACGGGACTTTTTTTTCCGTTCAGACTGAAAACTGCTCAGAGCGCGCGTGTGTGTTCAGCGCCCGTGTGCGTTCGTGGCGCGTGTGCGTTCGGCCTGTGTGCGTGTGTTCACACTGAGTTTTGGTGTGTATTAGTTTGTGTGTCCGTTAGCTGCAGCGTGGCCGCTTTGTCCTGCAGGAGGAAACGAGAAGGGGGAGGGGAGGCTGTGTGTGTGTGTGTGTGTGTGTGTGTGTGTGTGTGTGTGTG